CTGGGGGTCCTCTTAGCCCAGCCTTGGTGGCCCCTCAACCTTTGTTTGCAACCCACCTGCAGGGACAGAGGAGAGGCTCAAAGGCTAGTCGGTCCCTCATGACTCGTGTGTAAGGCTGTGGTGGAGAGGGCTGTGGCAAAGGAGAAGCTCCCTGGAGCTGGTCACAGGCACATTCGTGCTCAGCATATCATTTGCTGATGGGCACATGTGGGCACGGAGGGCCTGGGAACCGGTTCCCTGCAGCCCTTGTGTGCCTGTGTATCTGCAGAAAGGCTTCCAGACCCCAGGGGTGCACTCATGGGGAGCCTTCCTGAGCGGAGTGATCAGGTTTCCAGACGGCTTCATGGCAGACCTCAGTGCAGCATCCTTGGTGGATGAGCTGGCGTTTGGATAACACACCATAGAGAGTGAGCAGATGCCTACCTGGTGCCCCACATCTGCAGAGACATCTGGATGCCTCTTCCTCTCTTCCAAGGGATACTAGGAGGGCCTGCCAGCCTCACCACACATGTCAGCTCTCAGCAACTCGCACTGTGCCCACCGCTGCCCCCACTCCCAAATGGTGATGTAGCTAATCTGAGTTGTGGGGGACACATATCAGCCCATTCAATGCACAACTGCTCCAGCCTCAAACACCTGTCTCATGCCAGCACAGTGCCAGAGGACCAAAGACAGAGCACGCTTACGTGGAACCTGCCTTCAAGTTGCTTCAAAAGTAGCTGGAGGAAAAAAGAGACATGGCAAAAAGAGCAACCATTGCCCAAACTGCGTCACACTGACTCTAACAACTAAACGTGCAGAGTTCAGAGAAAAGAAACCGGTGAAGGTGGGTGAGTATAAAGTGTTCATGCAGGCACGGGGCCCACATCTGATCTTAGGATAGGCCTGGACAGCACAGCCCTGGGGTCGGACACACCTGCCATGATGCTGTCAGTGTGCCCCAGGACCATGAACGACACAGCCCAGGCAGGGGAGGTCAGACCCACGCGGCAGGGCGGTGCTGGACTCCTGCATATATCTCTGTGCATGCACACGATCCTGCAGTTTCACTCCCTCTAGAAATGTGAGAATTTAAATTCTCCTCTTTAGGTAAGTTGCCTATTGGTTTCCATTAGGATCTGGTCACTGATATTCCACAATTTAGCACAGTGGTGGTTCCAACAATCCTCTGAACCAACCGGGCCACTTGGAAGCATGTCTCAGAACAGCTCCTGGGCCACACCGCGTTCTGCCAGCCACGCACAGCCGGGGAAGCAGCCTCCTGAGCAGGCGTTTGTCTCTGTGGTTTCACTGTGTCCATATCTGATAATAGCTAATTCCACCAAATATTAGGGGGCTCACATTTAATTAAGGAGTCGCCATTTGTATGCTCCAGCCTGGAGGTCCCCACTGCCCCGAAGTCAAAAGAAGAGCCCTTCAGGGAATATGCCAATCTTTTCTCATTTCTCTGCTGAGCTCCTGCCCTCTTTGAATGCAATTATGGGAACAAATAAAATGGCTTAACTCGACTCCCCTGTGGGACAGCCAGCTCTCTGCTGATAAAACCAGTTGTGTGGGCAATCATTAAATGAGACCTCTAATATTTAACTAAATTTAATAGTCTATTGCTTTGGTGCTTTCCTGTGAAGGGTGGGATTTCAATAGGGAGGAAGGAGTTATTCAAATGCAGCCCGTGCAGTCAGCGAGTGTTTGGAACATGGTGCGTTCCCGCCTGAAGCCACAGCTCTGAGGTCCAGGAATTGGTAACGGGGTTTTTGGTAGCGAGACTGAGTCTTCTTAGCTCCATGCAAGCTTAGCTCAGCAGGCAGCAAACAGCATTGCAGCCAAGTTTTCAGATTGCTCCTCTATGATCACACTCGAGATTGCAGAGCAATGCCCGAAGCATTAAATTCAAAGGCACACCTGTGAAGACGAGAGCATATTTTAATGGACTGTGAGAGGGTCCATCCCAATTCTCTTCCATTTTGAAATGTGGTAGCTCAGCTCAGGCCTTGCCACCAGCAAACCTCTCCAGCTGAAGCCATCTTGGGCGCCCAGAAGCAGAAGCTACAGGTGGTGATGGGCCTGTCTTTGTTCTTGTTGGTGGAGACACATTCCTCCTCTGTTCCGCTATTTCCATGGATCTTCCTGAGCTGCCATTTCTACAGTTTGACCCACACGTGCACACCCCAGGTCCCTTACCTGTTATCCACCTGGGCTGGTCATGTACGCAGGCAGAGTGACAGAGATCACAGGTTCTCCAAGGGCTACAGCCGACCTCCTGTGGGCTGAGGCTTCGAGATGACCTTGTGAGATCCAGGCACTGGTCTCCTACAACGTGCTTGGGTTTGGTAGTATCAATGAATTTCCTCTTAACCCCAGCATTAATTGAATAATTATTTATGTATATCATTAGTCTTTCAAGCATGAAATGAAATCAGTTTAATGAAAGTTTGCTCTGGTTTCATTTCTGTTTGTCTCATGTGGGGAGCCATGGTTGACAGGCCTCAATTCCTTCAACTCTTGCTGCTCAAGATGTCTGAACCCCGGGGACCTCCGAGAGCCTTTGGGCTTTCTGAGACACCCAGGAAGACCTCTCAGTCCGGTTTAGTTTCCTCGAGACCTTTCCGGGGCCGTGGGGAAGGGCCACGTGGGAACAAGGAGAAAGACTTGGGTCAAAACCCAGACTCAGCCACTGTCTAAAGATGCCTGATTTCCAGGGTACGAATTGGATTTCACAAGTAGAGGAAGACCTCTCAGTCCGGTTTAGTTTCCTCGAGACCTTTCCGGGGCCGTGGGGAAGGGCCATGTGGGAACAAGGAGAAAGACTTGGGTCAAAACCCAGACTCAGCCACTGTCTAAAGATGCCTGATTTCCAGGGTACGAATTGGATTTCACAAGTAGATTTACCCAGGATACTGGAAACTAGAGCATGTTGTCCCCGGGATGGGGAAAAGGACCAGAACTCTCACGCGGGGTGTGGGGTGTATCTGGAGAGATTGACAGGGTGTCTGAGATAGGACGGCCAGGGCTTCTCTTTGAGGAGGTGACGCCTGACTTTGAGGAGAAGGAACCAGCCAAGAACCTTCCAAACATGAGGAGCTGCAAGTGCAGAGGCCCGGAGGCAGCAAAGGGCCGGGACGACGCTGCTCTTTTCATCAGCCCGCAGAGCTCCCTCAGCTCATCCCACCCTGTGGATGTGAATAGAGCACAAATAACAAACAGTCACTATCTCATAAACCAACTCCTCTCAACTGATCGTGTGTGCCTGAAGCATCGTGTTAAAGGGCTGTGGGCACTTGG